GCCCCGAGCCGGCGGGTCCCTGGCGGGGGTCGGCGGCCCCGCGGCCCCGGTGACGTCACCGCCGGCGCTCCCCACAATGCCGGGCACGGGACGCGAGCCGCGACCCCCGCCCGCACCGTCAGGCGCGGGGGGGAAAGTTGGGAACGGCCGCCTGCTCCAACAGCCGCAGAAAGTGTCGGCCGGCAGTGGGTCGGTTTTCATGAGGGCTTTATCGATCGGGGCAGACACACAGTTGCCCACCTCAAGAACCTACATCAGATCTCACGCTGCAGATTAAGTTTAGGTTAGAAAAAAAATTAATATGGCAACAAAGAATCTGTGGTACAAACAACTGCCAAACTGCCACCTACTAAAAAAAAAAAAAAAAAAAAAAAAAGCTACCCGTTTCTTAAAGAGGAGACATTTTAAAGACGCCGAGCAAATCGGTGGAAGCAACGTTCAACTTTTATGCTCCTGAAGTACTAGATAAATTCAAGTAAAACAGGCGACAAGGGTGGCAGAATTAAGCTAAACATACGGGGAAGTATTAACATTCACCAGCTGTTGACACAAGAACTAAAATAAAAAATACATCTTTTAATACCGATGTTCTTGCCTTGCCCGAAACAACCCAAACAGGTTATTTGTAGAAAACTAGATAGAAGCTGTGCTTTCCTACACCAACCCTTCACACTACACACGTGGTATCCTCCTTTTTTTCTTTCTTTGGCATAGTCTCAAACTCAGGCAGGGTTAAAGTACATGGCAAGAGCCAAAGGACTGCTCCCTACAAACCATAACACTATATAGTTATACCACGGTGCAGTGACTAAAATCCAAGTGATTTCAGTATGAGCTAGTAAAAACATACTTGTAGAATTCAAGAATATGAACAGCTTGTTAACCTTGTTAAATACTACATATAAGCACTTTAAAAATTAACAATATTTCTAAATAAAGCTGATCTCTGCATAAAGAAATATGCACATGTAGAAAGATACCATTGTTTTCTGTTTCCTCTTCAGCCACTGGCTGCGATTTTAATTGTGCTGGAGGATCTTCATTAGTATTAACACATGGGGAGATTTCACAAAGCTGCTTCATTAGGAGAAAAAAAAAAACCCTGGCAGACTAGGTCTTTTTGCATGCAATGAGAATGTCAGCCTTACCTCGGTCATTTGTAACATAATAAGTGCAAGCACAATGATTGCAGTGCAGGAGCATTGGGGGAAGGGCAAAAATGCTGCCTAATACGGATATGAGAAAAGAAAGCTTCTCATTACACAGGAAAATGTATGCTAAAAATTAGTGGAGATGATGTCTCGTGAGACTCATGCTAAATACATTAACGTGCTGATATGTTTTTAATTATTATTTTTGTACTAGTTTATTTCATTCCCAGGATTCACATCCAGCAGCAAAGGTTTGCTAGCTCTTATTGATTTTTTTTTGTCCACCACATTCCCTGAATACAGATTTTAATCGTTTCACTGCACCACACTCAGTAATTTCATTAAAAAATGGAAGCTTCCATCCCCAGAAAGGCATTTAATTTCAATGACACACGATTTCTTTTAGCAGCAAACTGTCTCAACTGTAAAAGCTGGCCTAAGGTTCAAATGCATAATTTAGTCCCAAGTTCTCCATGCTCTGCATTCCTTTGAAGCTATAATTTGACTAACTACCTAATAACTGTAATAAGGACAATGATTTCCTTATAATATGTTATTAACCCACATTTAATTAACTCAGAGGCCAAGCTCTGTACATGTTTGATTGGGTCAGTACCTCTCTAACCTCAAAATTTACTAATAATGGTCTTAAAAAAAGAGTGTGGGATAAGAATGTGTATAGGTATAATAAATAGCTGCTTTGCTCAGAATGTTATGCATCAGAAACTCACACATTTTCAAATACAACAATATTGTCACTCAGGAGATAACAGGATTTTATAAGGGGAAACAAAAAAATGGATTTAGATAATTCCTTATCAAATGTACTGGCTGTTTTGTAAATATTTGATATTGCTGCTTGTAACATTTAAAAACAATTCTACTATCTCTTATTATTGCAACCTCTCTAAATACCCATTCTAGGTATATTTTTTTGTTATTAATAAGAAAAACTGTAGTATGTTGTGAAAAATAAAAATGTGTGTATGTTTGGACAATGTGAACACAGAACCACAGGCCCCAACACATACCCTCTTCAAAAAGTTCAGTCAGCTATCCAAATTTACACCACGGGGATATATTTGACATCAAAATATGAACAGTCAACAATTTAATATAGTTTTAGCTAACTACATTGTATTTTATAGTCTACACCAAAATATGTTTAAAAAGTTACAGTTTTTCCACTGCTCACAAACAAATCAGTTCTACTACTGCAAAACTTACTAAGGTTTTAAAAATGGATTAACAATTCCTTTGTTTTAATATGCTTATTCAACAGGAGCTGTTGTTAGTGGATGCTACTGATGCATTTAAAGTGATTAACTATTACGTCAGAAGGGTTCCTAGCTTTCAAATTTGGCTGTTCTCCCCCAGGCAATATTAAAGCTGTAATTCTCAATTTTAAAAAATGCAAATTCAAATGCAGCACATATACTACAAAAACAGGATTCTCTTTTCTTTTGCTTTCTTTTCACGATGAATTAATTACAAGTACAGTTAGCCTTTGCATTCTTTTCAGGCTTCCAGTGTAAATGCCATTAAAGAAAACCACCATGCCAGTTTTGTAGTTCCCTCAGTGTTTTTTGCTATGCTTGTTGACCCTATCATTAATAATTTTTTTTGAACGCATAATCTTAACTGCTGAACTGGGAGAAAACAGAAATAGAAC